TAAGTAGCACTGCCATGAACATTGGGGTGCATAATTTCTTTTGAATTGGTGTTTCAGGATTCTTAGTGTATATTCCCAGCAGTGGAATTGCTGGGTCAAAAGACAGTTCCATTCTTAATTTTTTGAGGAAATTCCATACCATTTTCTGCAGTCGCTGCACCATTCTGCATTCCCACCAACAGTGCACTTGGTTCTCTTTTCTCTACATCCTCGCCAGCGCTTGTTGTTTGTTGATTTATTAATGATATGATAGCCATTTTGAGAGGTGTGAGGTGTTATCTCATGTGGTTTTAATTTCCATCTCTCTGATGGCTAGTGATGCTGAGCATCTTTTCTTATGTCTATGGGCCCTCTGTATGTCCTCCTTGGAGGAGTGTCTATTCAGATCCTTTGCCCATTTCTTAGTTGGATTGTTTGTCTTCTCGTGTTGAGTTGTATGAGTTCTTTATATATTTTGGAGATTAAACCCTTGTCCAATGTATCATTGGCAAATATGTTTTCCCATATAGTTGGTTCCCTTTTCATTTTGATGATGGTTTCTTTAGCTGTGCAGAAGCTTTTTAATTTGATGTGGTACTATTTGTTTACTTTTTTCCTTTATTTCTCTTGCCCTAGGAGATATATTGGCAAAAATATTGCTATGTAGGATATCTGAAATTTTACTGCCTATGTTTCCCACTAGGACTTTTATGGTATCACAACGTATATTTAAGTCTTTTATCCATTTTGAGTTTATTTTGGTGGTCTAGTTTCATTTTTTTGCATGTACTGGTCTAGTTCTCCCAACACCATTTATTAAGGAGACTATTTTTACTCCATTGTATGCTCATGCCCCCTTTGTCAAATATTAATTGATCACAGAGACATGGGTTTATTTCTGAGCTCATTATTCTGTTCCATTGATCTATGTGTCTTTTCTTCTGCCAGTACCAGATTGTTTTGATTATGGTGGCCTTTTGGTATAGTTTTATATCAGGTATTGTGATCCCTCCAACTTTATTCTTCTCAAGATTGCTGAGGCTATTTGGGGTCTTTTTTGGTTCTATATAAATTTTTGAAGTATTTTAGATCAGTGAAATATGCCATTGATATTTTAATAGGAATTGCATTAAATCTATAGATTGCTTTATGTGGTATGGACATTTTAATGATTTTAATTCTTCCAGTCCATGAACAAGGTATATGCTTCCATTTATTTGTATCTTCCTCTGTTTTCTTTCTTCAGTATTCTATAGTTTTCTGAGTCTTTTACCTCCTTGGTTGAATTTATTCCTAGGTACTTAATTTTTCTTGTTGCTATAGTAAATGGGATTTTTTTCCCCTTAGTTTCTCTTTCTGATAGGTCATTGTTGGTGTACAAAAGTGCCATCGATATTTGAATATTGACTTTATATCCCTCTACTTTGCCAAATTCACTTACTAGGTTGAGTAGTCTTTTGGTGGAGCCCATGGGGTTTTCTGTGTACACTATCATGTCATCTGCAAATGATGACAGTTTTACTTCTTCCTTTCCATTTTGGATACCTTTTATTTCTTTTTCTTGTCTAATCGCTGTGGCTCGAACTTCTAGTGCTATGTTGAATAAGAGTGGTGAAAGCAGACACCCTTGTTTTGGTTGCATTTCACGCACCCCCTGCTGGGGACCTGGCCTGCAACCTGCGCATGTGCCTTGTACTGGGAATCGAACCGGCAACCCTTTGGTTCACCGGCCATCGCTTAATCCACTGAGCCACACCAGCCAGGGTGACACCCTTGCTTTGTTCCTGATCTTAAGGGAAAAGCTTTTAGTTTTTGCCCATTGAGTATGATGCCTTTATTGTGTTGAGGTAAATGCTCCCTCTATTCCCACTTTGCTGAGTATTTTTATCATAAAAGCATGCTGGATTTTATCAAATGCTTTTTCAGCACCTGTTGATATGATCATGTGGTTTTTGTCCTTCATTTTGTTTATGTGATGTATTGTGTATTGATTTGTGAATATTGTACCCTCCTTGCATCCCTGGGACAAATCCTACTTGATCATGTGTATGATCTTTTAATGTATTGCTGGATCTAAATTGCCAATATTTTGTTGAGGATTTTAGCAGTTACGTTAACCATAGATATTATTGGCTTGTAATTTTCTTTGTTGTGTCTTTACCTGATTTTTAAATAAGGATAAAACTGGCCTTTTAAAAAGAGTTTGGGAGTCTTCCCTCTTCTTGAATTTTTCGGAATAGTTTGAGAAGAATAGGAGTTAGTTCTTCTTTGGGTATTTGATAAAATTTGCCTGTGAACAGTCCAGGGCTTTTGTGTGCTGGGAGTTTTTTGATTACTGCTTTAATCTCACTGGCTGGTATTGGTCTAGTCAGGCTCTCTTTTTCTTGATTCAGTTTTGGAAGAGTGCATGTTTCTAGAAATTTATCCGTGTTGCCCAGGTTGTCCAATTTCTTGGCATATCGTTGTTCATAATAATTTCTTAAAGTCTTTAGTATTTCTGTGGTATCAGTTGTTACTTTTCCTTTTTAGTTTCTGATTTTATCTACTTGGATCCTCTCTTTTTCTTGATGAGTCTTGTTAAAGGTTTGTCAGTTTTTTGTTTATCTTTTCAAAGAACCAGCTCCTGGATTCATTGATCCTTTGAATTGTTTTATTTAGTCTCTATGTTAATTTAATTCTGCTCCGATCTTGACTGTTTCCTTCCTTCTACCCCTGGACTTCATTGTTGTTCCTGTAACTTTTTTAAATGTAGTGTTAGGTTGTTTATTTGAGCTTTTTCTCTCTTCTTTAGGTAGGTCTGTATTGCTATAGATTTCCCTCTCACGACTGCCTCCCTTTGCTGTGTCCCATAGGTTTTGGGTTGTTGTGTGGTCATTTTCATTTGTTTCCAGGTACATTTTTATTTTCTCCTTGATCTCGTTAACCCATTCATTATTTAATAATATGTTATTCAGTCGCCATGTAGTTGAATGTTTTTGAGTTTTTTCCTTGAGGTAGGTTTCCAGTTTCAAGCCATTGTGATCTGAGAAGATGCTTGATAATGATTTCAATTTTCTTGAATTTATTGAGGCTTGTTTTGTGTCCTTCCATTGGTCTGCGTTTGAAAATGATCCATGTGCATCTGAAAAGAATGTATATTTTGCTTCTTTGGGGTGAAATGCTACATCATAATATACTATAATGTATTTAGTCCACTTAGGCTGTTTACAGCTTTTCCTATTACATTCATGATGTCTTGAACATTTCTCTGTATATATTTGTCCATTTCTTTTGGGTATTTTCTTTAGGATAAATTTCTACAAGTTCTGTTGCTGAATCAGAGAGCTATTAGCATTTCATTGTTCCACCAACAGGCTGCCCTTCTGGGACTCTGCTTGGAGGTGCTGCCATTCCTTCTCACCTCTGCCTGGTCTCCTACGTGAGAATGCTTTTTGTTTTATTTTAGCTGTGACTTACTAGAGACATCGTACTGTTACTCAACCATCCTCGAGCCTTTTCTGATCTGGGTGTGACTTGTTCATTCCTGTGCCATTCTTTTTTTATGTTAGATGATTAACTAGATGGCAGATGAAGCCGAAGTTTCAGAGGGTGGTAGTGATGTCATCAACTAGTTTCATTTGGAATTGTTGTCTTGTTCAAAGTGTGTACTTGTGGCTCTGACTGTTGCTAACGTCAGCCATCCTTGCAAATGCATTCAACGTTGGCAGGTTTAAATTCACAGCGCACTTCATACAAATCCTCTGAGTGATGGAAGCAAATCAGCCCTTAAATGGGTGACTTTGATGCATAATTCTGTTTGGTGCTCATAACCGTGCCAGGAGACCTGAGTGTTTCATGATGTTATGTATTCAAATACACTTTCCAGTGTTTGGATATTCATTTTAGGCTATTGTTTTTTGTAAGAACTTTAATAAGAAAAATACAAAAAGGTGAAGATGTCAGTGTTGTGGCCAACCAGTGCAATGCAACATGGAACCAGAGATTAAAAAATATGAATTAGCAAAAGCCAAATCAGTTTTAATAGTCAAGCCAAACTAAAGGCATGCAGAGTATTTTCATTGTTAAAATAGGAAATAGGCTTCCATGAGGTTCCTATACCCTGATATCCCTTTGAAGGGGCTTTTGAAGATGCTCTCAATGCTCTGACCAGTGCCAGCAAAGTACGACTGAGACTGCTGGACAAGGCAGCTCATGCTGCCTTCACATTTTATTTTCAGGATTATAACTTAAATATGTGTGAATTTATCTTTCAGTGTTTTAAGTTAATTTTGCTTACCACATATTTTGTTTTATTCTCTTCTTTTAATGTTTTCTACCAAGTGTATCAGCTAGAGATCATTTTTATATGCTGTTGCAATATATAATCTTACACTGGTTCATAATAATAAGCAACCATATGTTGATTGTATATACAGAGTAGGGCAAAAGTAGGTTTACAGGTGTTTGTATGGAAAATAATACAATTAATAATAACACAAGAATGAACTGTTTTGCATACTCACAACTGTAAATCTATTTTTTGCCCCAACCTGTATATAATTTTTTTTTTTAGCCTAAAACCTCTGAAAGTTTTAGTATAACTTTTTCAGAGACCAGTGATTTTCTGTTTATTATGATGGTCATTCATTATTGGAAAACACATAAAGTATTTTGAAAAATATATAAAAGCTGATAATTTGGGGAATCCCAAGACTTCAGATTTCTCATTTCTGAATCCTGAGGATTAGTGTCTATTGGAAATTTGGAGCCGCCAGCTTAAGGTTGTCTTTCATGGACTGGCCTGGGACTCAGTGCTGTGTATAATGTTGCCCGTGAGCTTATGTTTTCAGATCTACCTGGGCCTTGCCTTACGAAGGGGCTCTATCATTTTGTTTGGGTCTTTTCTGTTTATTTTAGGCAATTACTTTGTTATTTTCTATTTATCGATAAGCTGATGTTGAAATTGATCAAGGCTTGGTTTTCTTTTAATTCCCCTGAGAGGTGATGGCCTTGTTGCTCAGCATAGCTTTCTTTTCTCACAGGGCATTTTAGAAGCATCAAAGGCCAGAGCCATCCCCGTCGTCATTGATGCGGTGAGTGTGGCCTCTCCTTTCCTGTCCCCTCCTCACAGCCAGGTGTCCAAGGCCATGAAGTAAACAGGAGTCCTTGTTCTGTGCAGGATGGGCTGTGGCTGGTCGCTCAGCAGCCAGCCCTCATCCAGGGCTACCAGAAGGCCGTTCTCACACCCAACCACATGGAGTTCACCAGACTCTGTGAAGCTGTGGTGAGTTTGTTGGCCACCTGAAAGACAAGGCACAAGCCCTCCTTATCCTGAGCAGGGGTGAGGGACATGCTCTGTGGTTCTGCACCCGCTGGTCCCTGCAGGTGCATTGCAGGGACAGACTTGGAGACGTTGAGTGGATACATGCATATTCTATCATGCATTTTTCCACATGCTAACAGTGTTTCCCCCCGCCCCCCTTGGTGGTGCATGTAATGATGGGACATCTTCCAATCAGTGCATCTTTGATTAGATGAAAGACAGGATGGCTGGTTCTGGAGTCATTCTGCCCTCCCATGCTCTGTACTCTCTAGGCAGGTAACTCCATCCCTGTCTCATGTTACCATTTATGAAATGTGGATAACGATAGCTTCTGCCTCATGCTTATATGAGGTGAAATGAAGTAATATATGAGGTCTGTACAGAAGTTATCCAGCCACGAAATATGAAAAATAGAGACATTTATTGAAAATGATACAAGACAAAAGAAACATTGTACCTCAGTCCCTGTCAAAGTAGGCAGCTTTGGACTGCACACAGTTCTCCCAGTCATTATCAGCTTCCTTGTTGTATTTTCCTGAATCTCACTGATGGTCTGAAATTATCTTCCTTTTTGAAGGCAATTTTAGTTTTGGGGAAAGCCAGAAGTCCCACAGTGACAAATGTGGGCTGTAGGGGGGCTGAGTCGCCTGGGTGATTTGATGTTTTGCCAAAAAACTCTGCATGAGAAGTGATGTATGAGCAGGCTCATTGTCTTGATAGCTGCGGCCTTCTGAGTCATCTGAATAGTTTTTGCAGAGGAATGTGCAAGCGTAACGGAAAATTTGATGCAGATTCATTGCTCTACCCAGTCATTTTGAATGCGATAGCCACACAATACACATGCTCACTTAACAGTATCTACTGCCCCACTGAGTAGTACAGTGAAGTCGTCATTGTTCACACATGCTCATTCCAGTCCACTCTCCTTGGCTGCCAGGTTACATCAGTGTCATGCAAACCATTCTTGTTATATTAAAAATAGCTGGACTTTTTCCAGACAGACCTCATATGTAAATTCATGAGTCTTTACATATCAAGTGCCCCATAAATGTTAGTGTGTTATGATTCAAAGTTGAATCCCTTCTGCAAACCTTTAAAATTCTAGCCCTGAATAGTGTTCTTTACCTTTGACCTGACAAGGTAGGGGTGGGCATCAGAGCACTTCTACTTCCAGCCCCTGTATTGGCATCCACCTGGAGGACTTGCTGCCTGTGATATCCTGGGCCTTTTTCCAGCTGGTGGATGGAACACGTGTTTTTGTGTGTGGGGCCATCTTGTGCCTGGGGGATTCCCTTAGATATGAGAGTCGGAGGATCAGGATGTTCATTGTATCCACATTTGTGCTCTCTTCTCAAGTGTCTTATGACAACTTTGTGGTGTCCTATGTTGTAGCTGAGAGACCCCGTGGATGGCAGTGATCGCCGTGAAGCTGTGCTCAGACTCAGCCAGGCCCTGGGGAATGTGACCGTGGTCCAGAAAGGGGAGCAGGATGTGATCTCCGATGGCAAACAGGGTAAGTGGGTTTGGGGTTCACCCAGTGTGGCCATGCTGGGTGCAAGCCTTAGGAAAACGTCATTCACACACGGTACAGGTACACAGTGTGTCACACACATTCTCACATCACATGTAGTCCCTCATGTCTTACATGCTCACACATCATATGCATCACGTGTTCCACAGAGGGACTCCCTGATGAGCTTGTTAATCACAACTTCTTCAATGTCCATTTTTATTTCTCACTGTTTTGCAAAGGGAAGTGACAGTCATCAGTGTTGATCCTAGTTGATACCAGGTGCCAGGGCTAAAGTTCTGTTAATGATTTATGAGAAGCAGCCCAGTGGGCAGGTGGCTGGAACAGCAGGTGGTGCTCCAGAGTCCTTGACCTGCCACCTCTTTCTTGCCTGCAACATAAATTAATTTATTTGAATATTTTACTGTGTTTTGTCCTAGTTTATAAAAATGACTTGAAAGTGAAAACCCTCGGAGCTGACACTAGTGGGAATCACTAGGTGCTAAATGTGGCAAATCTTTCAGTCACATTCTTTCCACAGAAGCCTGTAGACCACTGAGTGAGAGCAAGGTGGGCTGTCGGCATTTACTCGTGTCTACACGGTGCATAACCAGAGATGGGAGTGCCATTTCTAGCTCCTGAAAACACAAAAATCTGATCTGGAGGCAAAAAATACACCAGTTAACAGAGAATTTAATACAAAGAACCGTCACCTAGGTATAGAGTCGCTGACCAGGTCACAGAAATCAGGACCAACAGAAAACAGAAGGCATCCTTAGTCATGTCTGTCTCACTTTGTCTCCTGCACGTGCTGGGCAGGAAATGGACTGAGTGTTCTCTGAGGGAGCCTAAAACATTTGGCTTCTTTTAATTGCTAGAAGATGCTCTAGACTCTAACATATTCAGACCATGTAACAACCTGTTTCCAAGGTAGAACTCTCTCACTACACAGCACAAATGAAGTCACGAGGGTTACCAGCTGAGTCCCTGCAAGGGTGCTAGTGCTGGCACGTCTCCCTGGAGGTGGACTCTCTGGAGTGTGAGATGCCCGGAGCCTGCAGGCCTGAGCCTGTGTGTGCTGTGCATGTCCTTCTGACCTCTTCTGGCAGGACCCTCAGTGGTTCTGAGTCACGTGTCCGCTGACCACTATACTAAACAGGTGCTTCTGGGGCAGCCTGGTTTCTGTCTGCCTTGGTTTCCTCTCCTTGTTAAAGACAGGCTTCCTTGTTAGGAACAATTGAGGAAGACCTGTGGATGACCTGGGACATGCACTCACTGTAACAGCCATCTCATTTCTGCTCTGCAGTGCTCGAGTGCAGCCTACAGGGCAGTAACCGCAGGTGTGGTGGACAAGGAGACCTCCTGTCTGGCTCCCTGGGCGTTCTGGTGCACTGGGCACTCCGTGCCGGACCTGAGAAAACACAGGGGTATGCCATGTTTTCATCTGTCCTACTTTGAAATTTTTGAATTGTGTAAGCTATTTCAGTAGCTCATACTTTTCCTAAGTAGCTGCTTGGAAGATTTCAAATGAAATGTCAATGTTAATGTTTCATGGAGGAGATTCCAAGGCAGGGATTGGTCCCAGAATGTTCACGTGAGGAGCTTTCACTCCATGTGTCTGGGCCCTGTCCCGTCATTGGATACCAACAGGCTCTGGGGCATCCCTAGCCTTTAAAGCTCTCCCGTGAACTCGAATGTGCAGCCAAGTTTGAGAACACTGTTCTAGGAGGTCTGATGCTTACCTGCTGTAAAACAGAAAATTAAAATAAAAAATATGCAGGCAGAGGTAGAGGTTACCTGAGGTAGATGCTGTCCTGAAAGGTGAGTTTCCTTCTAGAGGCAGCAGAATTCTGAGATCTGGGCTTTGACCCATTTCTGCTGTCACACAGAATTCCAGCAGTTCCCACCGCTCTGTGAGCCTCTGTTTCTCTTCTCTGCGCTGTTCATGGTGACAGCGATGGCCACACATGCCAGGGTGGGGTGTCCTGGGCTGGACGGCCCCGCCTGACACCTGGTAAAGCAGCGATGGGCATGTGCGGTTGCGGCACATCTGGCAGGCAGGGGGCACCACCCAGATGGGCCCAGGAGGTGTGTGCGCATGGAAAGGAGGGCTGTATCAGGAGTCTGGTTATGGTAGGAAGAGCCCGCATTCTCAGATCTTGATTATTCCCTCACATCTAAACTCCAACCAATAAGTACTGGTCCAGTTTTCACCAGGGGAAAACTACTGTCTTCTAACCTTTCTCAAGATGGGTAGGGTTTGTTTTTTTTAAAGATTTTATTTATTTATTTTTAGAGAGAGGAAGAAGAGAGGGAGAAAGAGTGGGACAGAAACATCAATGTGTGGTTGCTTCTCGCGTGCCCCCTACTGGGGACCTGGCCCGCAACACAGGCATGTGCGCTGACTGGGAATCAAACCAGCAATCCTTTGGTTCACAGGCTGGCAGTCAATCCACCAGCCAGGGCTGGATAGGTATTTTTGATATGCCTTTTGTCAGAGAATATCAGTATCAGGGGTGGGGGCGCTAATGGTTATTTAAACTGTAATTAAGCTGCCCTCTCCCTGCCTCACTGGCATATCAGATTAGAAATTGCCAATTTGGGGTCTCAGGGTGGAAACAGGAAGGAAATCAAAGCCTTTGTTGGCTTCAGGCCCCTGATGTCTGACAACGCCATGGAGGGAGAACTTCCCACTTCGCACAGCTCCTTACTAACACCCCCGTCCTCCAGTTTCAGCCCTCTCCTCGTGGCTGCCTTTGGTGCTTGCTCCCTCACAAGGCAGTGCAACCACCAAGCCTTCCAGAAGCACGGCCGCTCCACCATGACCACCAACATGATTGAAGAAATCGGACCTGCATTCAGCAAACTCTTCGAAACCTGAGCCAGTGCAAACGGGAAGAAAGTGGGCACCGCGTTGGAAGAAGTTGCATTCATGCATGTTGCAACATCCACGTCCAATATGTCTGAATCCTCTGGTACCAGAGCAACATGGCTGTCTGGGAAGTTTGTAAGTCTAGGATACACGGGTTGATGTAGAGAATTTAAAAATTGGGAATGCAGCACTTTTTGTGTAAATTAATACACAGTTTTGAGATGTTATGGTGACATTCAACAAAGTACCCCTGAACTGTTCTTAGCTTCCTAGCAGTAATGAAAAAATGGAGAATCATTTGAGAATGAGAAAACCTTTAACCAGCTCAACTGAATTTGTGGGCTTGTTCTAAGATTGCAGAGTTCTGTTTTAGTTTCTCTGAACTTATTTCTTCTCATTCTCTCTACTGATGCACTTCATGTTTCTTTTATTTATGCTCCATGTTCCTCTTACTAGATAGTTATTTCAAAGGGATTCAGTTGGTTGTTTCCAAATATCTTCAGGAATAATGAGTTTTGCTTTAAAAAAAAAAAAAAAATTGAGATCCACTGAAGAATATGGCATGCATTTTTTAGCTCAGTTTTCTTTTTTAAACAGTGATTGTGTTGAAAAGGTCTGGGCAAAAATACTAAGCATTAATTGTTTTGGTTAATTGGTTAAAGTATTCAGAATAATCAGTGATCAGTTTGACCTTGGCAGTGTTTTTGGAGGCACCATGGGAAAATCAGAGAAGGAAACTTATGGGACACTGATACCTGAATGCACAGGTGGGGGGCTCTGAAGTACTTCGTGTCTTATACTTCCATGTTTCCATGTCTGTGCACACAAGTACGTGTGGTGGCTGGTGAGGCCCAGCAGAGCGCACGAGAATGGGACGGATGCCCATTGCTGTGCTCTCTTGGGAGGAAGCCTTCAGGATGCTGGGTCTGGTGGTAGATGGTACCAAGAGGGCCCTGGGGGCACTGAGCAGAGCAGAACAGCAGTCCTTGTTTGAAAATAGCTAAGTGTGTACTCAGGAAGATTGAGATTCCACTGAAGAAGTTGATATATGTGAAACTGATGTAAATGAGATGTTCTATTGCCTTTTTAGCCTCTGGTTCACTTGTTGGTTTTATGGTGGTTTTTTTAGTAGCCTGGGAGTGACTTGTTTTCTGTCATCCTTTCTCCATGGGGTTTGATTCCTGCTACATGCATTTGAGGGCACTCTTACTGTTTAAGAAGGCCTTCTACACGGGCAGGAACTGTCCTGTTCCTTTAAAAGTCTGTGTATCCTTGATGATTACACTTGGATGAAGCGCTGTGACTCAGATACATCACCCCAAATGGATCCTAGTTTCTTTAAACCAGTCATGAACTTTTAAGATTCTTAAAAAATACATGCCACAATTATTTCACATCTAATTCGAGAAGTTTTGCTATCATATGTGAACTTCTCCAGAAGAAATCATGGACATTTTTCCTTTGGGGAATTAGTTCTAAATTCTGGTGACTAATAAAAGGCAAACTTGCCTTTTTCAATGCAGAGATTTACATTTTTTCTTAAACAGCCAAAACCCATCTTTTGAATTTCCTAAGTTGAGGACATTGTCAGCTACTAGGGAGATAAAAATGTATACATTTATCTAATGTGTTTAAAAAAAATTTATTTTTAGAGAGAGGGGAAAGGAGGGAGTGAGAGAGAGAAACCCTGACTGGGATTTGAACCAACAACCCTTTGATTCGCAGGCCGGCACGCAGTCCACTGAGCCACACCAGCCAGGGCGAATGTGTGTGTTTTTTTTTTTCAACCAGTGCTTACCAATATTATTAAAATGAAGTAATCTGAAGAATAAGCCTGAAATGTCACTATTTCTTTACACAGAAAATAAAACTTAGCAGCCACAGGAACTATCCCTATGCATTTGTTACTAAAGTTTTTACTTTGAATAAGTACAAAATCCCTTTTTTTAAAAATGAGAGGAAGTATACCCAAGTGGCCAGGGACCAATACTTTTTTTTTTTTAAATGAAGTTTTGTAATTGTTTCCTGTGCTTTTTAATAATCCCAAGAGTACTCACTAGTCTAGCTAAGGATACTCTCTTACTGGCAGCTTCCCTGAGACCAGGATAGCAGCAGGAAACACTGGGTGGGCAAATTAGGCATCAGGGGACAGTCTGCTTCCCTAGTACTGAATTGACCCTATTTGGGTATCTCCTGGTAAGGGGCCTGCCTGCCATATGGGGTCTTCACTGTACCGTGTACTAATTGGGCCACTTTTAATGTCATCTTCCAAATGAGTTTCCTCGTCAGTAGTATAGGAACACCAATGCTTTTGAGGGTCATGAAGGCCAATGACAGAGTAAACATGGCTGCCAAGCACACCAACTGTCTACAGCTGTGCCCCTCATGAGCCTATCTGCTGCCTGAGGCTGCACCTGCCTGGAACCTGAGAGCTGGGGGAATCGGCAAGAGGGTCACCCTCTTTCTGGTTCACTGAATAGCTATAGCTCCCCACCTGCGGCAGAAAGGTGAGGGGACCAAGGCCAAGGCCAGTTGGCTCAGTCCCAGATTGTTTGCTATGTGCTCTCCTGTGCACTTGGCCTCTGTTGTACCCCTGTGTCTTGCCCACACCCCTGCCATCCCGACTCCTCCAGAATGACCATCCCTCAGTTTATCACTGCCCAGCAGTTGAGGTACAGGCAGCACAGCCAGTCCCCGCACGATCTCCATGGAATAAGGGTGTCCTGGAAGCTGCTCCCCTGCTGTCCCCATTCACAGGTCCCATCTGCCTTCCTATGATATCTTCTGAGACCCCAATTTAAGACTTACATCCTGGGCTCTGGGCTCACAGACATAGACTGGCTGGGTTATATCACAGATGATGTCGGCTGATTAAACTGCACTTGAGTCTGTGGCTGTTGGTACTATAAAGAAATCCAGGGAGGGGGCAAGGGAAAGTGTTGGGGGTTAGGCAGAGACAAATGTATTTGAAAAAATAAATTTAAAAAAAGAATGATGATCAAAAGCAAAAAAATTAAATAAAGCCTGAACATCTCAAAAAAAAAAAAAAAAAAAAAGAAATCCAGTTTTTTAGCCCCATCTGGTATGGCTCAGTGGATTGAGTGCCAGGCTGCAAACCAAAAGGTCACCGGGTTGATTCCCAGTCAGGGTACATGCATGGGTTGGGGGCCTGGTCCCCAGTTGGGGATGTGTGACAGGCAACTGATTGCTATCTTTCTCGCACATCAATGGTTCTATCCCTTTCTTTGTCCCTCCTTTCCCTCCTCTTTAAAAATAAAATTTTTTTTAAAATCCATTTTTTAGCCATAATTAGTAACACAGCAATGGGATGGTATCAGTTTGATTTATTTTAATGTTGACTAAATAGCCACAATGGAAAACTTTAATGTAAAGCTTCTATAGTGACAAGCAAGCACAGACCACCCTGAGCCTGTGGTTCCCCCTTCGCGTATCCTCAGCTCCTCGGTTTGTGGTCTTCTGACCTCTGGCCCAGCAGTTCCCAGGTGGATGTGCTGCTCCTGTCCTGTGGGGAGGGAGACGGTCCTGGCTGAGCAGGCTCGCTTGGCTCGAGGAGTAAATGGGCGAGATGGTCAGGGCTCAGAGTGACGGGGTACTGCCCGTGCCCTGATGCTTCCACGGATCTGGGCTGCACTAAAGGAAGCAGCTGGATGCTTAAAAACAGTCACGCTACTGCCTTCCATCCGCGGGTTCGGGGAAGGCCACTTGGGGCAGGAAAGGGGACTGAACGAGGATGCAGGTCTGCTCCTGTGTCCGCCTGATTCCTCGAGTTCACATGCCTCTGGGCCTCAGTGTCCCTCCAGGTTCTGACTCTGACCCTTTCCCAGGTCCCCCAACCCTCAGGGTCCCCCCTGGCTCTGACTTTACCCCCTCCTCATATTCGCCACAGGGTGGTTTCTGTGCTCACAAACAGCATCAGCACAGGCGATGAGCTTTGACCTTCCCATGTTTGCGTGACACCAGGTGGTTTACACAGCATCTCAGGCCCATTGTCACTGGGCCTCAGTGTCAGTGGCTCACCTTAATACTGATGCCATGGGCAGCAAGGTCCTGGCGCAGGGCGTCGCATGCCTCCAGCAGGGGCTGCCTCTCTAGGAGCTGCTGCCGCCGGGCTTCCTTGGTAGCCTCTCCTGTGGCCAGGGCGAACTGCCGGACCTTGAGCCGGAATCGGACCAGCTCCTCTACCACACTGTGCAGAGTGGCTGAGCTGCTGTCCCCTGAAATAAACTACACCCAGGTGGAACGGTGTGACCAGCAAGATCCTGGCAGCAGCCCAGCCGGCAGTACCTGCTGGGCCGGTGTATTCTCTGCTAAGCCTACCCAGCAGGCGTCCTCCCTGGGGCGCTGCGGAGAACTCTCCGCCAGCTGTTTGCACCAGTCTGGGAAGGTACTGAGGTTCTGGGTCTTTGGCAAATCTCCACTTTCCTCCCCTGAGTGTCTGTCACCCAGGCAGAGCTCAGGGCTCCCAGTGCAGGCCTTGGAGTAATCTCAGGAGAGGCCCAGAGCTGGCTTTCCTCCCTCCAATCCTGGACTCACACTAACAAGCTGGGAGCAGCAGCTGCTCCACACATGTGCTCACATCTAAAGGCATTTCATGGTCATCTAGTTCATTAGGCAGAAACTAGAACTTTAATAAGACCAATGAAACCAAATCCATTCACTCTAACCAAATATTTAAAACAATGTAGATACACCACATGACTCACACACACACTGTTTTCATGGGATAGTTGGGAGACCAACAGTCTCGGTGCACAGCTGGAGATACTGCAACAGGTCAAATGGGATCTAAACTGCTCCAGGTTGCCAGAAGTCCCCTCCCCTATCCACAACTTCTTCCTCCATAACGGAGAAGGGATCCTAGTGGCTGTCAGTGTTCACGTGTGTAAAAGAAGAAACAACCCACAACATTTTACTTTTGGGTCAAAGTTCTTAAACCTCATATGATTCTCATTATTGCTCTGTACCAAGCCGGGAATAGGCCATTTCTCTGAGAAGCCTGATAATGATAATTTGTGTTGTAAAAATGTGATTCCAAAGAGGGCTCTGGTGTCAACCCTTGGGTTGGGGGAAGTGAGTGAGCTGTTTCTGACGAGGGCCAGGCACAGCTTGGCCAGTACGCCTTTTCTTACTCAGAGCAGGTTCTGGGGAGTCTTGTGTGGAAATTAATACAGACTTTGCAAAAACTTGGGTCACCTCAGACCAGTCACTTTTGTACAAATTGGCAGGCAGTCCTTGGACGGCCTAGGAAAGGACATTAAGTCTACCAAGTAATCGATGTCTATCAATCAAACAAAAGTGGAAATTATCACAAAGACACTGCGATTTGTGTTAAGGTCAGAGCAATTCACTGTACTTAAAGGCTGGAAGAGACATACCCCAGCTTACAGGGGACACTCCCTTCCACGGCATGGGGGAAGCTAGGAGACAGGCCTCCATGACTCCCACCGCCAGCCAAGGCCCCCAAATGGCAGGCTCCCCAGGTGCCAGGCAACTGAACTGACATGGCAGCCCCCCCTTCAAAGCAGTGAGCAGCTGTTCTGTGCCAGAGCTGGGTGGCAGCGGCAGAGCCTGGCAGTGCTGTGAAGGGATCTAGGAAGAGTGACTAGTTCCTCTGCCCCTGGATGGTCCCTCCTATGTGCAGTCCAGACCGCTGTGTGGTAACAACATGCTCACATGCCATGTTTTCTAAAATGGCTACTTTAGCCCTTTCCTTTCGTGATCCTCAACAGTCCTAAAGCTGTTAGGTGCAGCAGAGCAAGGTGGCCCCGTGGAGAAGAGGAGGGCCTGTAGAGCCGCACGGAGCATCCATGCAGGGGCAGCCTGCTGAAGGGGCAGCCTGAGGGGTGGAAGTGTCCAGGCAGGGAGGGGCGGGAGAGGCAGAGCTCCAGCGCTTGAGGAGGGCGTCCCCACAGAGGGACTATGTATTTGGAGAGTAAAATCTAAAGATATGTGTTTAGGATACTGGAAAGCAGGTTTCTCACTGTTAGAGAGGGAGTTATGTATAAAAAGGGAAGAAAGCAGAATGAACCCTTTGTTGGGGAACTGGAATTGAAGTGGTGGTGGTAAGCCCTGGGTCTCAGTCAATGTAAAGTGGTAGAGAAATGAACCTGGATACCGCGTGTACACACGTCTCCCAGCTCTGCCCACCACGGGTGCAGAGCAGCTGCACCGAAGCACAGTGAGCACATCCAGCACTTCTAAGAGCAACCAGGCCCTTTAGAGAAATGGTTGATTCCTGGATTGGTGTAGAGAAAGCACTACGAGTTCTAAAGTGGACCGTTCTCTCAGAGAGGGCTCATTGGGAGAAGCGGGGAACCCCAGGGTCGGGACTCCTGGTCTCTGTGGGAGACACACCGAGGGGATTGGCTGGCAGCTTACTCTCAGGAAATTGTTCTCTACACTGTACATCTGTCTGTACATTTTGAGATTCTTCCAAAGTCAGAAACATACCAAAAACCGGCCAAACGAGTGCACACGGAACTGGTGACACACCACTCTGTAGCTAAGGCATGCTGCTGGTTCTGCTCAGAACTGTTGCAGTTTCAGTTAGTAAGTTATTAGCTCTGGGCATTAACTTTTTAAGGAACATAATATATTTTAAGCACATTAAAAAGGGGAAAAAAACGGCTCTGGCTGGTGTGGCTCAGTGGACTGAGTGCCAGCCTGTGAACTAAAAGGTTGCCTGTTCAATTCCCTGCCAGGGCACGTGCCTGGGTTGCGGGCTGGGTCCCCATTTGGGGGTGAACAAGAGGCAACCAAGCTACATTTCTCTCACACATCGATGTTTCTCTCCCTTCCTCCTTCCCCTCTCTCTGAAAATAAATTTAAAAAAATTTTAAAAACAATAAAAGGGGGAAAAACCAGTTGTTATTGTACTAGCTTGTAAATATCCCACAGCTGAGGACTGAGAAGAGAAGGATGTACCTGTCGTTCTGCCAGAGAAATTCCAACAGTCTCAAAAAACTCTTCAATGTAGGAGATGATGGAGCCGAACACAGCAGGACTCCTAGGACCACTGGGTTCCTGTGACCGATTACCCAGAGAAGGCCGTTTAACAGCAAAGGACACTCAGTGTAACAGAACAAAGACGTCACAGGTCATTTCCTCAGGCACAAGTCCTCGCAGGAGACACTGGACTAAATCCTGGAGTTGCCACCCACTAGCAAACCAAACCACCACAGGGCAGTAACCTAATCCTGCACCTGAGTTCACTGACCTGGAATATGGGGATATTTATGGTCTGAACACTGTCCCCCAAATTCATACATTGAATCCTAACCCCTAGCATGATGGTATTAGGACATGGGGACTGTGGGAGGTCACTGGGTCATTGGGGCAGGGCCTCACGAATGGGATTGACACCAAGGCCCAGAGAAGGGCCAGGCTCCCAATACGGGGCTTCCTCCCCAATTTCACGTTTTGGCAACAAACTCATTCCTCTGAGTGAACAGGAGGATTACAAGTTCCTGAGTTAGCAAACGTGTAACGCTGACTCTGTGCTGGGACCTCCCTGGGCCCCACTCTTCACCCGTATCTACCTCTCTGGGCTCAGGGAAGTGGCTGTCTCTTCTGCAGGGCCAACAGGGCAGGCCACGTCCGGGGTGAAGCAGCTTCAGGTACTTAAGGGAAGGTTAGTATAGGCCTGGAAGCCACCAGCTCTGGGGGATGAAGTTACCTGAGGGTGCTGGGAAGATGGCATCTGTTCCTTGTGAGGAAAAACCAAACAAAAACCTTACTTTGTGGCCATATCCTTGGAGTTACCTTAGTGACCACCTTCAACTGTCTGTTCCCCTGGTGAATGAGATCCATGATGGCGTCCACCGCCCCGGGTGTGTCAAAGTCGTCTGCCAAGGCAGCCTTCACAGCAGCCTTGGTGTGGCTGAGCCTTGGAGAGGTGAGGAGAAACAAACGCATCCCTCGTTCCTGGACCCGCCTCAGGCACAGCATTCCCGCGCCCTCGCTGCCGCCCGCCCTCTCCTTTCCTTCCCCCTCAGACCCCTCGAGCTGTCTCCGGGGTGATCGTCCTCTTCCCCTCTCCTTCCGGGCCCACAAGGACACTCCTGAGCCCTTGGCCTTCCTCCTCCTCTCTTGCACTTCAGGCCCCGTGTCCTGTGGCACTGTCGCATCCCTCAGCCCTCCTCTCCCTGCACGTTTGCACCTGCACACGCACCACCCGTCACTGACCTCCCCAAGGCTTTATCTTTACACCTAACTCCCCAGTGCCCGTCTTTCCTGGGCTTGGCCTCATTCCCTTGGGATTCCCCCCTTTTTGGGCACAGGGAAAGATGGGTCTGGGCCACCTTGCAGCTGGGTGGCCCTGGGAACAGTTCTGGCCATTGTAAGAAGAGGCGTCCCACGTCTGGGCCGAAGCCCCTGGAGCCCTCCCTTCCCTCCAGCCTGGCACCCTTGTAGTGGCAAGGGCTTCTGTCCATTACATGCTAATTAACACCAGCAGGAAAAACCCGGACACGCGTGTTCTTTACCCCCTTCACAGCCGCCCCACAGGGGTGACCACTGCATTTCTCACCCAGTGGGACCAGAGCCTGAGGGGGCTTCCACACCAGCACTCCGGAGTAAGTGTCCTCAGCCTCCAGAAGCTTCACTTCCCTCTAGGCAGCCCCACATCTGGCACCCAGGGCTCTGGACAAATCCTGGGATGGCACCTACCTTTCCCACAGCTCGTCTTCCCTGATGGGGGCGCATGCCAGCTGCCCCTTCATGTAGGCCCGAGCATCCTGGACAAACGCGGCTACAGCCAGGAGGAGGTGCTTTGCTTCCAGCATGGTGCTGTCGCTGTAGTCGACGGCTGAGGAAGGGGGAAGTGGTTACTTGGGGAGCCCGCCGAGCGTGCCCACACCCAGCAGACACAGAGTTCTGTAGCCAGGCCACCCTCACGTTACTCCAGAAACCCAGCAGTGGGAAAGGACACAGCTGCTTCCTACCCTGTGCCTCCGTGAGGCCCGTCCCACACACCATCCGTGGGACCTGACTCCCGTGTCTCACCACCTCGAAAGAAACATGAAAAACCTTCCCCAGTACATTTTGGCTGAGGGGGCGCATTCCCGCTGACATGTGGACAGAGGGCTGACTGCCAACTGGGAGAGGTCCACTTGGGTGCCTGAAGCAGCTCAAAGACTAGCTGGTGCCAGGAGGGCTTTGGGCTCAATACTTCAGGAGAGGGCGATAGGATCATACCTCACACTCAGCGTGTTAGTGTGTGTGATGACAGATTTAAGGATACTCGCTCCACCTGGGCCAGCCCACTGACCCACTGGACACCCATGTCTAGGCCCTCACCAAAAGGCACAGCCAGAGTGGTGGAGTGTCAGCCACTCCCCAAGGGGTGGGGGTTTGCGTCCGGGGGCTGTCGTGCCTCAGCGCCACAAATCTGGGGGCCTCACAACAGCAGTTCATTCTCTTAAGAGTTCCGGAGGTAAAACAGACTGAAATCAAAGGGAGGGTCCTCCCTTGTCTCTTACAGCTTCTGGTGGCTGAGATATGCGTGGCTTGTAGCTGCACCACCCTAATCTCTGCCTCCCTGGTCACATGGTCGAGCCCAGTACACAAGCTGAGGAGCCTACCTGCCCCCAATGGGCACTTGCTTCTGCAGTGCCAGACATAAAAACCAGAGGCCATATTGATATGCTAGTGGTCAAGTCAGGGCAGTGCAGTGTGTCCTCAGACCTCGCCTTCTGTGGTGAAGAGACCTCTGGCCCCAGGACACGGCACTAGACAACCCTCCCCAGAGCAGCACACAGTATCGCAGCACAGCAGGGCCTGACCATTCTGGGTGGGACCCCATTCTGAGGGCTTCTGGTTCAGTCCTTGTGTGAGGACGGCCGGTCCAACTGTTCATGAGGCAGGAAGTGGAGGGCACCATGGGATTCAGACTTGTCCAGACCCCACAGAGAGGGAGAGGTGGGGGAGTGGACAGAGAGGACTGACTGGAAAACCCACGGCCTCCATAAGCTTCTGGAATCTCTTGGCTGAGTGCTGGTATTAGGTTTAACAATGCATTCTCAGGCTGACTTTCAGAACCAAACCTTAAGGGGTGAAAGTCACCCCTTACTGGCTAAGTGATAAGTAACCCCGCTAACAAGACTGTGCTTATCATTTAGCCAGTATTTTGGGATTCCCCACATACTGTCAGAGTAGCCTCTCCCAAGCTGCACACAAGTAGAGGCTATGGCCACCACCCCAGAAGGCCTCACTGTTCAGCTCACCTGACCTGTAGCTGCTCTGCATGCAGAAAAACCGGAAGATGTCAGGGGAAAATGTCTTCAGAAAGTCCTGAGAGAAATAAAGGAGAGATGTAGAGTGCTCTCCTTTCACATCTGTACATTCAGAGACTGTATTGTTTACTACAATTATGTGACCTATCTCACATATCAAGAAATCAGGAATGTTTAGGAAAAGCTTTGGTTTGTTTCCCGCTCACTCAGCACTTTTTCCTGCAGTTTCCCTACTGGCTTGTCACATTCAGTCCAGGGTCTGTGGGAAAGGCCGAGAGGAGAGGCCGGTTTGCCTGGAGTCCATGTCCATGCAGGCCAACGGGAATCTGCTCTGCTGTTGGCCTCGGGAGCTCCTGACCACGACACACAGCACGGTTTTCTCACCCTTGTCATGGGAGGACAGGGACAACCAAGCAGCCTGGGAACCACAGAGGGACTGTGCACAGGGAAGCACATGGAGAGGAGGATGCACAGCTCCTGGCTGTGACGGGGACAGGGGCCCAGGAGCAGGAGACTGTCCAGAAAGCTTGGCCATGGCAACATTAGAACAGGCAACGTCCAAGCTCAGGTTGGACTGAGGGGAGGGGGCCCAGTTCTCTGCTCCCAGTTCTTTGTAAGATTTACACGGTGAGGGGGGTTAGTTATAAATGAAGTGCTCCCCCCAAGAGCCTTCACACCCATACGTCCTGCACGCTGAGGCCAGCCGGCGCCTCCAGGCACAGAAAGGCCCGTCTCCCTAGTCGGGTCCTCCTGAGCTCACCAGACCCTCGCTGGGCTCCTCTCTGCCTACTCCTCAGAAGACGGAACGGGCAGCTTAACCCAGACGCCTCTCCACTGCCCGTCTGGCCTTGCCTCTCTGGAAGCTACTGAGGCCTGCAGGTGTGAAAGCCATGAACGGGGATAAGGGCTGGCCGCATCAAGCCCCTCACTCTGGGCCCAGCCCCTCAGGTCACTGGGCTGATGTGGCAATAACATGACACACGGGGGCTAATGCAACGCACATCAGAGACACAAGTGTGCAGGTCCTCCCCTGGGGGAGCAGGCAGCCTCATTCAGTCCTCCCTGGAAGGAGGAAGGGGCTACTTGCTCAGACTCCCATGGCTGATCCTTTTGGAGGGACGGAGGGGCTCCCTGGGTTGGCTTTCGCCAGGCGTGGGGGCTCCCACAGGTCCTACAATGGCATCGACCCCCCCTTGTTTGGCTGCACCTGAGGCAGTAGGGCGGGGGGAGGTCGTTCTCATTCAGGGGTGGCGTTATTTAGGAAGCTGTTCAGTTAATATTTTCATTGAGGGGTTCTCAACCGGGTGTCCACAGACCTCCTAGAGCCCATGAAGAGAATTCAGGAGGACAGAGAAGAGTATAAATTTAGATGAGAAAATGGCTACATATTTATTTCCAATTGTGACATTTCCTCCCATGATCAGTGTAAGCAATAAGCCACAGTAGGTTCTGTCACCCAAGCAGTCACGGTCTTCATCTCTCACTCCTGCTGCCGCACTGCCTCCAGGTATCCTATGCCCGCTATTTATTCGAGATGATCAGACCTGCTGCCAGATTTCGTTAAATAGTTCACCCAAGTGAAGACGTGCATATATTCCTTGCAATACAATCACCGCCTTCTATAACTCTGTACATTTCATTTTATGTATTTAAAAACATTAAATTCTAAGAAAGAACCTACAGACTTCAACAGGCCACCAAAGGGATCTCTAGGGATAAAAAATGAAGCAGCTCCATCAATCTGACCTTTATCAGTAATGAGGCTGGTTTTTCAACTTCCATCTGTCTATCTCCTATGTGTTCCTTCCCAAATTGTTGGGGGGGAAAATGTATTACTGTATTTTGCTGTGTATAATGCACACCCACATTGTTAGACCAAACTCTCAGAAAAAAATATTTTGTTTTAATTTTTTAATTCAATTATTTACTTATTTATATTTAGATACTTGTTTTTTGCATTATAAAGGAATTTTAGCATTTATTTGTTTGACATATTATGGTACAAGAGATTTCATGTAACAAATAATTACAAAACACAAGAAGAAATACAAGGTATTTCAGGTACTACCCATCAATAATGTCCATCCTTATCTTCCCCTCAAAAATTTAGAAAAAAAGCACGCATTTTACATGGCAAAATATGGGTACTTCTTGGTCCCCTTAGTTTCCTAAAACGAACCAATGGACAGAAGCACAGCATACACCCACTACACACCATGTTTTTGCTGTATTAATTTAATGCATCCATGCAGTCATGTGTCTATTTCTCTCATGTCACTTCATGTTTGAATCTCCAAGGATCTTTGTGAAAACATGCCATTTTAAATGCAATGGAGGGGGGCTTCCCGTCAAGATGGCAACAGGCAGATACGGCTCACCTCTTTGCACAACCAGATCAAAATTACAACTAAAATATAGAATAATCCTCACTTAGGGACATCAGAAATCGAGTTGAATGGAGGTCTGACTACTACGGCCCACACATCCATCCTGACTGGTAGGAGGGGTGTGGACGCAGAATGCTAGCCCTGCACCCATGTGGATAAAAATTCAGGAGGGGTATCTCAGGAGCGATGAGTTCCACATCCACACCAGGCCCCCCAGCCCAGGATTCCAGTGCAAGGAAGATAAGTCCCCACAACTTTTGGCTGGGAAAACCAGTGGGGATTGGGTTGGTGGAGGAGGCTGCTGGAACCCGCACACGGACTTACCTACCCAGACTCGCTTTCTCTGAGCCCCAGCACGAGGGTGGCAGCTTAAAGGACACCAGCGGTGTACAGGGAGAGACTGAAGTGTCTGGCATCAGGATGAGCAGAGGCCATTGTGCCTTGGCTGAGCCCTCCCCGCACAGAGCCAATAGGTTGGTGCCATATCTGAGACTCCATCAATCTGGCTAACACTGTGTGACCCACCTTGGAGGTCCACTGAAGCTCTACCCCACCCAATTTACAGGCCCACCCAAGCTGCTTCTCTGTAAGAATGTCTGATCTTAGCTCCTAAATCCCATCAAAAAAACAACAGCTGGCTTCAGTGAGCCCTAGCCTTAGCCACAGTAGATTCACAGCTTGGCTTCACCTGGGAATCTCCAAGCCAGCACAAGTAGCAGCCATCTCAAATTGGTTTAAAGTTCAGGTGGGTGCCCCAGGCAAAACACAGGTTGGGGCTGACATTGGCCTGCCCCACCCAGGACACCCTAGGGCCAACGCACCCAGTGGGCAGCTACAGACTATGTTGGAGCACCACCACCCTGCCCCTGCAGAGCTGATCCTCCACGGAGGGCAATGGTTGGTGGTCAGTGGTGACAGCCAGTCCTTGCAGCTGACTGGCCTGGGTAAATCCCTCCTATTGACCTGCCAACAGCAACCAAAGCTCAGCTACAGGAGGAAGGTGTACTCAGCCCACATGAAGGGTGCACTTTGAGTACTCAGCTTGGGTGATAGGGGAGGCTGGACCACTGGAACCTACAGGACACCTATGACATTAGGCCATGCTACCAAGACAGGGAGTCATAGCAGCTCTGCTTAATACATAGAAACAAGCACAGGGAGGTTGCCAAAATGAGTAGACAAAGAAACATGTCCCAAATGCAAGAACAGATCAAAACTCCAGAGAAAGAGCTAAATAAGATGAAGATAAGCAATCTATCAGATGCAGAGTTCAAAACACTGGCTATCAGGATGCTCAAGGAACTTAGTGAGCACCTCTGTAGCATAAAAAAAATCTAGTCAGAAACAAAGGATACACTAATTGAAATAAAGAACAATTTACAGGGAAACAATAGTAGAGTGGATGAAGCTGAGAATCAAATCAATGATTTGGAACATAAAGAAGCAAAAAACAACCTATCAGAAAAAGAAGAAGAAAAAACAATAAAAAAAAAATGAGCACAGTATAAACAGCCTCTCGCACAACTTTAAGAGGGCCAACATTCACCTCATAGGGGTGGCCAGAAGAAGAGAAAGAGCTAGAAATTGGGACTCTAACGGGAAAAACAGTGAAAGAATGCCCCTAATTTGTTGAAAGAAATAGACATGCAAATCCAGGAAGCACAGAGTCCCAATTATGATGGATGCCAAAAAGCCCACTCCAAGACACATCATAATTAAAAGGCCAAAGGTTAAACATAAAGCGAGACTCTTAAAGACAAGAGAAAAGAAGTTCGCTACCAGATGGTTGCCAGATGGGAGCGGGGAGGGGGAGAATGGGTGACGAGGTGAGGGGACTAAGAAGGACAAATAGGTAGTTACAGAATAGCCAGGGGATGTAAAGCACAGTATAGGAAATGGAGTAGCCAAAGAACTTACACGCATGACCCATGGACACGAACAATGGTGGGGGGATTGCCTGAGGGAGTGGGGGGTGCTGGGTGGAGGGGGGCAAAGGGGGAAATATCAGGACAACTATAACAACATAATCAATAAAATATAATTTAAAAATAAACAAATGCAATGTAGGTAATACACAACAAACAGTAAGACCAGATAAATAACACTGTTATTTAATATATGTCTTTATCATTTATAAATGCTAAGTTGTAATATAATTATTAGCTATCCTATTACGGTAACAAAAAGAAGAGGCTTTGAGAACTGAAAACCAAACCGATAAATGTCAGAGGCCACAATCCAGCTCCAGATCCTGTGCTTTTTTCCATAATAAACCTTCTTAAATCTTATTTGCAGGGTTATTTTCCCCCTGTGGTACTTTTGAGGACTTTTCAGTTCCAGCTCATTTGAATAGTGCTTCTCTGAACAGCTACTTGCACAGGGCTGTCTCTTGCAGCAGTAACTGACTTCTCTCAGTTTCTGCGTGTGGCTCTGCTCCACGGCACCCCGTCAGCATGCAGCCCGCGAGTGCTGACCTGGCTGCGCCTCGAGAGCAGAGGGGAGCCCATGGGTGGCCACTCACCAGCATGCAGCGGGCCTTTCTGGCCACCTCTTCGACTTTTCTCCCTTGTTTCTGAATTACAGCAGTGCCCCCTTCATCTGCAGGGGATACATTTCAAGACCCCCAGTAGATGCCTGAAACCACGGATAGTGCCAAACCCTATATATACTA